TCCTTTTGTTCTCTCCCCATCCTTACTATCCCCCCATCCTAAATATCAACATGCTCGATATCTCCCTATGCTCTGTATATATCTTGTCATCTACTGTGTGTGTCTCCGTGCTCTGATTATAAGTAACTCTTTATACTCTTTATCTCGGTGTCCGCTCTAATCTTTGTGGCTTCTTATCTTCCTTGCATAATAATAATTACGTATCTTCAGGTTTTCCTACTTCTCTGTGTTCAGATATTTAATTTCCTCAGCAACTGTTATCTGCTTCCTGCCTAGTGTGGTTTACTCCCCTTCCCCCATCCCCCCCCCCCCTTCCCCTTACCCCTCCCCTAAACACACACATATTTACATGTCCGTGTTTTCTGTTTAATTCTTATTTTTGTACTATCCACAATATATTGTGGATAGTACAATACTATCTACCGCCATTCCTTGTCATCGCTGCTCATGTGGGGAACACCGACATATATATATATATATATATATATATATATATATATATATATATATATATATATATATATATATATATATATATATATATATGTTTACTTTAGGTCCGGACTATGTTGAGAACAAGTATTCTTGGCGGTTCTCCAGTAAGCTGGAGCCAGATTCACGAAGCAGTTACGCAAGCACTTGCAAACGTGTACATCTTTCCTCAGTCTTTGACGGATTTGGTTACATTTATTAAACAGTTTGCAGCATGAATACTTGCCAATCAACTGTTGTTATAAACAGCCTCCTGGTGATTTTGAGCTCATTAACTTTTTAATAATTATAATCAAAGCCGCCAAAGATTGAGAAAAGATGTACAGGTTCCAACCCGTCCTCGACTCAACTCTATTCCATCCAGCGGTCGAACCCGTCAAACGCATTCATACATTTTAACATACTTTTCATTCAAAACTGGAATTTTCTCAAATATAAATTAATATTATAATATATTAGCATATTGTGCATATATAGGCATAGGTTAGGTTAGGTGTTTAGGTTCTGTTGGCGATTATTTGTATTTGTAGTACGTGGGTGAAGCATTTATAGCGTTGTGGTTCGAACAAAATTCGTCAGTGAAGCACTTGTTCCGGAAGTGTTCGAACATCATCAGTTGTGAGTCGTGTGTAAACCGCTTTTCATTCATAAACAGCGGGTTTGGCGGGTGCATGGAAAGGACTTTGGCCTTTGTTTATGAGGACGGGGTGCACGGTCTTGCATCTAAACAGCCCGTCCTCGCATACAAAGATCCAAGCTCGTTAATCCAGCCGCCAAACCCCCTGTTTATGAATTAAAATCGATTTACACACGACTCACAACTGATGACGTCCGAACACTTCCGGAACAAGTGCTTCGCTCACGTCATCTGTTCGAACCACAATTCTAAAAACAGCCCGTCCTCCTAACAAAGACCCAAAAGGGATTCCATACACCCGCCAAATCCCCTGTTTATGAATGAAAAACTATTTACACACGACTCACAAGCGATTTCGTTCGAACACTTCCGGAACAAGTGCTTCACTGACGAATTTTGTCCGAACAACATTCGAGGACTGAATGCTCCAACAGAACCTAAACGCCTAACCTAACCTACGCCTAACTATACATAGAATATTTATGTATAATAATATTAATTTAAATATGAGAACAAACCCATTTTTAATAAAACAGTATGTTAAAATTAATGAATGCATCTGGGGAGGACGGCCGCTGCTTTAAACGGTCTAGTGGGAGGACGGTTTGGGTGAACTACTGTATAGCCCGTCATAGCGCTGCATTTGACGCAATTCAATGTCAGTCAGTTTATTTACATACGGGTGACTTGACGTTTAATCCCGACTGGCAGTCCTGCATCACAAGAGGTCGCAGAAGTAGTCCACGTTCAAATTAAAGTAAGTTTATTGTGTCCGCATGAGTTTGTGAATGTCACACAAGCAATCCGAAGCCTAATATGTGATATTTTAGGCTTCGTTTTGTAAATATATATATATATAATATATATTTGTTGAGAAAAAGGAAATACATCCCAAAAGGATAGAGTAACGTAGGCTATTCCTACCCTCATCTATGTACGGTCCCTCAAGCGGCTCACATGCCCATACAGCACAATAACTAATCATAGTTATTGATTAATTTGTTCAATAACTAATTTGTTCAACTAATCATAGTTTACATTTCACATTCCCATGGTAATCACATGGCATGCTGTGAGTCTCATTGATTATGCTGCCCCTGTCATGACTTGTTTTGGTAAAGGCAGACTAAATAAGTTGGTGAAGGTACAAATAGAAGCCATGAGAATAATCCTCAAATTATTCTCAGGCCCAAGAAATACTATTACTATCATGATGACATGATTGAACTTATAGAGTATTGGGGGATAGAATTTCAGCGATAAATGAAGCTTCGGTAATTAGATTAATTAGAGGCGAAGTAGCTAATCTTCTCACTTCAATTGGTGGAGAGAAATGAATAATGCACGTGAAAGCATAATAAGGTCCTTATGTTCTAATGTTACAAAGCGTGATGTCCTTCAAGAACGTATTTCATTGCCAAAAAAAAACAATTAACACCAACATGGGAGGAACACAATGCAGTTATTGTTCCATCTAGGTTTTCAGACTCTTATCTTTGCTGTGGTTTGGTATTTCATTGATAAGCGACTTCATCTCTTGAAATTGTATTGTATACCATTTTTCCTGATCTTCTCCGTCAGCATTTTCCACCACACGAGGTTGAACACTGCCATCATTAGTGAGTAGTTAATTTTCATGAGACTTTTCCATCCATAATACTCCATCTTCCCCCTCCGTTTTATTTCCCACTTCACTCCGTTTGTCATAACTTATTTTTTCTAGAGCTTCAATCTTCTTGTCTAACTTTTTGAGGTTTTTCCAAGATCTGTGTACAGTGCGCAGAATCCACAAAGCTACTCTGCACCTCATCACCACTAGGCTACTACACTTTTTCGGCTTCGTTTCCCACTAGGAAAGGTGCTTCGATATCCACTAGGCTATCCTTAATCGTCGCCGTGCCTTTCTCCCAAATGTTAGTCACAGAGGTTATCGCTATCTTTTTCACTGTTTCTTCCTTGTTGTTGTTGTGTGATCTTGCCTTACGGTTGCCGGCTTGTTAGTTTACCCTGCTTACGGTTGCCGGCTTGTTAGTTTACCCTGCTTACGGTTGCCGGCTTGTTAGTTTACCCTGCTTACGGTTGCCGGCTTGTTAGTTTACCCTGCTTCCTTCGGTTCTTAGTTTACCCTGCTTACGGTTGCCGGCTTGTTAGTTTACCCTGCTTACGGTTGCCGGCTTGGAATCTCTCACATGGGACATAGAGAGGAACCACCATCGTGGATGCCTCGACAATTGCTGCAAGATGGAAAAATTTTGATGCTTTGCCAGTCTTGACTCTACACTGTCGCGAGTCATTCTTCTTACGACAATGCCAACATCTGGGGCCAAACTGACATTTCCAAGCTATATGTCCCCAACGAGAACACTTCATGTATAATGTAGGCTCCTCAATGTATTTTGTCACTTTCCTGTATCCAAGTCCTTGTACAAAAAGTCTTTCTGGAGCCTCATCATTCAACAAGGCAACAATCTGACTTCGTTTTTCACCACGTACAGTGTTCGTCTTAGCCCAAACAGCACTTTCATTATTGAGATGAAGAAATTCAGGATCCAAGTATGTCGGATACTTAAAAACAATAGCTTTAGCGTAGATTATTCCCACCTCAGGAGTAACCAAAACAATATTAAAAATAATAAAATAAATACAAAATAAAATGTTTATTCAGGTAAGGTACATACATACAAGAGATTTTACATAAATTGATCGATTTATAGATGGAGCTAGTACATACAGTGCCTAAAGCCACTATTACGCAAAGCGTTTCGGGCATTGTTATTCTTAAATCCGTCAGTCGTTAGATGTTCCACTGCCTCTCCTGTTCCAACTGTTATGTAGGGCCGGTGAACACCCTCTTTCAATAATGGTTCATATTAAACAAATTGCTTGGCTAATTAAACAGTCCACTTCAGCTTCCGATGAAAAGTTAGTTGACGTGTCGAGGGAAATAACAGCTACTTCCCTTCATTAATCTGTGGCCCAGGCTCTGTTGGGACCTGTTGCATTTTTCCCGTGAGATTTTCCTGCTGAGTTTGTATAGAACTTTGTAACCCAGGTCCTTGTCTGTCGTCGATCACTACACTTCTTCTGTCGTTCATCACTGTCAGTATCACTTAACACTCTATGCACAGTTTTCCGTTTTTGTCTCCTGGTCATTGTTACCTGCAAAAGGCCTGGAGTCGTTATGTCAAAGTCACTGGGTCACAAATTCACAACTTTCTAGAGTGCTTCAAGACGTACCTTTCCTCCACCATGGCTGGGATAGAACTCAGTAGTCCACGTGTCCTAGCTTAAACCATTCATTATCTGTTCAGTATTTAACTGTTCTTTCTGTTACATCTGTTCCTAGATTGTTGTTACATTGCTTTGTTCGTTTCTTGCTTTATTACATATTGTATTTTATTAGTTTGTAAATAATTATATTTAATTATTATATTAGCTAAGAGATAATTTTAAAAACATTGGACACAACTTTTGTGCGAGATTGGGGAAAAGGTCAAGGCCATGGCGACGCAAAGTACCTTGATCTCGCGTTGAGGCCAAATTCACATTTCAACCCTCAGGCTGGACGGAAGCGAAGGTTACATGCTAGAGCCAAGCTTATCTACCACGACTATTGCTGTAGTGAAAGTGTCTCGCTCGTGTTCATTGATATCTAACTTTCAGTGTAAACAAACACCCACACGCCCAGGAAAGTCCCCACCAAACTAGACACCAAAAACAAGTTTTTGTTTCGTTCCTTTCAATGTTCGCTCGTTGACTGCTGCTGTCTCGAGCGGGTGGGTACTGTGCCTTGCTGCTCCTGGTTGGCATTAGGTTAGGAGAAAAATGAGGTAGACAAAAGGCAAAATACAAACACATGGGGAGTACTCACGGGGAGTTGGACGAAGGTGGTGTTGGTGATGGTGGGGAGAGCGAGGCGTGGGGCCACAGCTCCAGGTGGGAACCTGCTGCCGCTGCTGCTGCTGTTCCTGAAGGCCACGGGCCCCTGCAGCTCCGACGGTAAGGAGTGCATGAAATTCTGGAAGTGGGTGTCGTCGTGCCCCAGGTCCAGGTACTGGCTGGGCACGCCGGACACGTGGTGGGGCCCGTGCTGCTGGAAGAACGGGTGCTGGGCCCCTGGCAGCCCGTGGTACAGTGACGGGTCGTGCACTGTGACGTTGAAGACAGCTGGGTGCAGCGTCATCTTGACACCTTGCTCACTAACTCACTCTACACGCTACAAAGATACTTTCTATTATACTTTCAAATGAATTTTGTTTTAAGCACCTTAGAAAATGATTGTCAGAGTAAACTTGAGAGTGGAGCGACAGGCGCCGTGGTCACTACACTGACGGTGCTGTGTAGTGTTGATGTCAAGCACCGAGACGGACTTGACACAGGCCGGGGCAAGAAACACTTACACTTCCGCCCGCTCCAGTATTCCAGCCGGGACTCTCCCCGCTGCTCCACTTCGCGGAACCTGCTGAGCGGCGCCAGCAGGAGAGGGGGAACACCGCTGCCGACTCTCAACACTACACACACACACTCTCTGCCCTTCAGGTGTATGTTAGCCCAGCACCGACACCAAGGAGCGCCGGAGCCGCCCGACACGAACACACCGCCACAAGTCTGGAGCAGCGCCGCGCTGATCCCAGGATTCTCAGAGCTGTGAGATCAGCCCGAGAGCCGCCATGGATCTACTGCGAGTGTTGAGCCTGGTGGGGAGGTCTGGGACCCGGGGAGAGTGTCCTTCAGCGTGGAGCGGTGGGCGACGCAGCCCACTGTGACACTGACCGCAGTCAGCTAATACATCCCTTCAGCCTCTCCAAGCAAAACTATTCCTTCCTCCCTGTGATCTCTCAGGCTGTTGAGGGAAGATGGAAAGGATTAGAGAGTTAATTAGTCACGGTGTGGCAGAGGCGAGAGAGTCCTCAAGGCCGGCCGGAAGAGCCATGCTGCAGGTGAGAGAGAGAGAGAGGGAGAGAGAGGCGTTGCTCTCACTAACATAGAGCACCGTTACGATACTGGACTCCAGCGGCAGTGTAGCGGGCCGCGTCTTACCAGCCAACCTCCACTCTCAACACTGACGCCCTCTTGCACGCACACACAATAACCCCTCCTTCCCCCCCTCACACACACACACACACACACACACACACACACACACACACACACACACACACACACACACACACACACACACACACACACACACACACACACACACACACACGCTGCTACACAAATATTACCAATCCTTCGGACATCAATAAACATATTTACCAACCGACTAAAGTCCATTATAAACCACAATGAATAAAGTCACCAGTAAACCAAGAATAATAACAGACGAACCCAACGACTTGGTCCAAACACCCAGTTTACTGTTGGTGCTTCCCTCACTGTCCCCTCACTGTCCCCTCACTGTCCCCTCACTGACCCCTCATCGACCCCTCACTGATCCCTCACAAGAATGTTGAAAATGTACAGCGGACACGCCGGTCTCACGCCACGGCCTACCGTCACCCTCAAAGACGAGCTGACTGGCCGATGCCTGGCTGGCTGGCTGCCTGACTGCCTGACTGACTGACTGGCTGGCTGCCTGACTGACTGACTGGCTGGCTGGCTGGCTGGCTGCCTGACTGACTGATTGCCTTGCTGGCTGACTGTGTGCCTTGTTGGCTGATTGTCTGCCTGTCTGGTTGGCTGCCTGCTTGCCTGCCTGGCTGGCTCGCTGCCTTCCTGCCTGGCTATCTGGCTGCCTGCCTGGCTGACTGGCTGCCTACTTTGCTGTCTGTCTGGCTGTCTGCCTGCCTAGCTGACTACCTGCCTACTTGCCTTGCTGGCTGGCTGTCTGCCTGCCTGTCTGGCTGGTTGCTTGCCTGGCTGCCTGACTGCTTGCCTGGCTGGCTGGCTGCCTGACTGCCTGCCTGGCAATCAGCCAGGCTGGTTAGTTATTTTGTTTTCGGTGGATTTTTGAGTTGCTCATTTGAATGAATCTTCGCTACTGAGATGTTTGGCTGGAAGGAAAGTCTGTGCACAACTGACCTAGTTGTGCTTGCGGGGGTTGTGCTTTGGCTCATTGGTCCCGCCTCTCAACCGCCAATCTACTGATGTACAGATTCCTGAGCCTACTGGGCTCTATAATATCTACATTTGAAACTGTGTATGGAGTCAGCCTCCACCACATCACTGCCTAATGCATTCCATTTACTAACTACTCTGACACTGAAAAAAGTTCTTTCTAGTGTCTCTGTGGCTCATTTGGGTACTCAGCTTCCACCTGTGTCCCCTTGTTCGTGTGCCACCTGTGTTAAATAATCCATCCTTGTATACCCTGTCTATTCCCCTGAGAATGCTGTATGTGGGTGTACCTGCCACCCCCCTTGTGACCCATGACCTCCACCCTTGTGACCCATGACCACCCCCCCCCTTGTGACCCATGACTACCCCCCCTTGTGACCCATGATCACCACCCTTGTGACCCATGACCACCCCCTTGTGACCCATGACCACCCCCTTGTGACCCATGACCACCCCTTGTGACCCATGACCACCCCTTGTGACCCATGACCACCCCCTTGTGACCCATGACCACCCCCTTGTGACCCATGACCACCCCCTTGTGACCCATGACCACCCCTTGTGACCCATGACCATCACCCCCCTTGTGACCCATGACCACTACCTCCCTCTTTGAGAACAATGAATGGAACAAAGGGTATGAAAAAGTTCATTACTGAGTCATGAAACCCAAACAAACCAGTGAACAACCACTGGCAGATATTCAAGAAGGAAAATTTGGCAGGAAACACAGGCCCTTGATTGAACATTACAGTGAACATTACAGTGAACTTTACAGTGAACAAGAGATAAGTTCCTAATTGAGTGGAACGTGACAGTCGTTTAGTTATTAGGGAGTGGCTGAGGACTGTAATCTTTTATCCCGTTATCTAGCAAGGTCTTAGTGCAAGGAGATACCATTCAAGACGCAGGAGCCACACACAGCACCACCACGACCTGCAGGAGCCACACACAGCACCACCACGACCTGTAGGAGCCACACACAGCACCACCACGACCTACAGGAGCCACACACAGCACCACCACGACCTGCAGGAGCCACACACAGCACCACCACGACCTGCAGGAGCCACACACAGCACCACCACGACCTGCAGGAGCCACACACAGCACCACGTAAAACGACGGTGGTGGTGGTGGTCCTGTGCTGCTCTGACGGGCTGTAACCACCAGTTCCATCAACCACATTGCAGATGCTAAGCTCCAGCTCTTGGATCCCACCTCTCAATCGTCACTTTAAACTGTATATAGAGTTCTGAAACCTCTCAAGGTTTGATCCTATCTACATTCGAGTGTGTATATAGAGTCTGAGTCCTCTACTTCGGTTACTAGTTAAGTCCTCTAGATCTTCCGGACGCTGGAAACGATGGTTGTAATATCCAGGTGATTACGGCAGGTAATAGTTCCCACGCTAGTTGGTGTTCTGTTTTTGTTTACCTTAGCATTTGCTCTGGTTATTTTGTATGTTGTGATCATGTCTTCATTGGTGTGTATGTGTGTGATTCATTCCCTGCTCCCTGGGTGCCCCTGAGGCAGGGCGGGTGAGTCTGCCGGCTCCCACCAGAGGTCACCCGGTTGTGTGACACCTGCCTCACCCACCCCCTCACACCCACCCTCACCCCTCACACCCACCTTCACCCCTCACACCCACCTTCACCCCCGGAGTCCCACAGGGCTCGATACTTGGACCCATCCTGTGGACAGAGACTACAGGATGACCTGGACAAACTGTAGGAATGGTCTAGAAAATGGCTGCTAAAGTTCAACTCAGGAAAGTGTAAGGTAATGAAATTAAGCGAAGGGAGTAGAAGGCTGAACACAAGGTACCATCTGGGAGGTGAAATCCTGCAAGAGTCAAAAAGAGAGAAAGATCTGGGAGTTGATATCACACCGAACCTGTCCCCAGAGGCCCACATCAAAAGGATATCATCAGCGGTATATGCTACATTGGCTAAGATTAGAATGGCCTTTAGAAACTTGTGTAAGGAATCGTTCAGGACCCTGTATACCACTTATGTCAGATCAATCCTGGAGTATGCAGCTCCAGCCTGGAGTCCATACCTAGTTAAACACAAGATAAAGACAGAGAAGATTCAGCGGTATGTCACCAGACTTGTTCCGGAACTGAGAGGTATGAGCTACGTGGAAAGGCTACGGGAGCTGAACCTCACGTCCCTGGAAAACAGAAGAGTAAGGGTAGACATATTTACCACCTACAAAATTCTCAGGAGAATTGTCAGGGTGGACAAAAACAAATTATTTAACACGGGTGGAACATGAACAAGGGAACACAGGTGGAAACTTACTGCCCAAATGAGCCACAGAGACAGACATAAGACAGAATTTGATCAGTGTCAGAGAAATTACCAAATAGAGTGCTTTAGGCAGTGATGTGGTGGAGGCTGACTCCATACACAGTTTCAAATGTAGATATGATAGAGCCCAGTAGGCTCAGGAACCTGTACACCAGTTGATTGACTCTTTGGTCCCGCTTCCCAACTGTCAAAGCTCAACCCCCGCAAGCACAACTAGGCGAGTACTTAAAACCCACTAACACACCGGTGGAGCTGAGCACAGCCCCGCTCCTGTGCCAGGTAAGTCCACTACGGGCTCACCATATCCCGTGCTACTTGGTACTTCTTGTTACCGGTAGCTGAATCTACAACAACAATAAAAACAGCAACCGGGCAGCTGGTTGGTCTCTGGCGTCCATCCTGGTCTCTGGCGTCCATCCTGGTCTCTGGCGTCCATCCAGGTCTCTGGCGTCCATCCTGGTCTCTGGCGTCCATCCTGGTCTCTGGCGTCCATCCTGGTCTCTAGCGTCCATCCTGGTCTCTGGCGTCCATCCTGGTCTCTGGCGTCCATCCTGGTCTCTGGCGTCCATCCTGGACTCTGGCGTTCATCCTGGTCTCTAGCGTCCATCCTGGTCTCTGGCGTCCATCCTGGTCTCTGGCGTCCATCCTGGTCTCTGGCGTCCATCCTGGACTCTGGCGTCCATCCTGGTCTCTGGCGTCCATCCTGGTCTCTGGCGTCCATCCTGGTCTCTGGCGTCCATCCTGGACTCTGGCGTCCATCCTGGTCTCTAGCGTCCATCCTGGTCTCTGGCGTCCATCCTGGTCTCTGGCGTCCATCCAGGTCTCTGGCGTCCATCCTGGTCTCTGGCGTCCATCCTGGTCTCTAGCGTCCATCCTGGTCTCTGGCGTCCATCCTGGTCTCTGGCGTCCATCCTGGTCTCTGGCGTCCATCCTGGTCTCTAGCGTCCATCCTGGTCTCTAGCGTCCATCCTGGTCTCTGGCGTCCATCCTGGTCTCTGGCGTCCATCCTGGTCTCTAGCGTCCATCCTGGTCTCTGGCGTCCATCCTGGTCTCTGGCGTCCATCCTGGTCTCTGGCGTCCATCCTGGTCTCTGGCGTCCATCCTGGTCTCTGGCGTCCATCCAGGTCTCTGGCGTCCATCCTGGTCTCTGGCGTCCATCCTGGTCTCTGGCGTCCATCCTGGTCTCTGGCGTCCATCCTGGTCTCTGGCGTCCATCCTGGTCTCTGGCGTCCATCCTGGTCTCTAGCGTCCATCCTGGTCTCTAGCGTCCATCCTGGTCTCTGGCGTCCATCCTGGTCTCTGGCGTCCATCCTGGTCTCTAGCGTCCATCCTGGTCTCTGGCGTCCATCCTGGTCTCTGGCGTCCATCCTGGTCTCTGGCGTCCATCCTGGTCTCTGGCGTCCATCCTGGTCTCTAGCGTCCATCCTGGTCTCTGGCGTCCATCCTGGTCTCTGGCGTCCATCCTGGTCTCTAGCGTCCATCCTGGTCTCTGGCGTCCATCCTGTTCTCTGGCGTCCATCCTGGTCTCTAGCGTCCATCCTGGTCTCTGGCGTCCATCCTGGTCTCTGGCGTCCATCCTGGTCTCTAGCGTCCATCCTGGTC